CTAATCTAATGGTACTTATTTTGAATCATGAGTATGAGTACATTTTTATATAATTTAAATAAGTTTAGACTGTTTGATTTATCGAAATACGAGAATTGCTTTTTTTTTTTACAGAAGTAGTAGTTTCTACCCATCCTAACCCTGTCGAGTACAATAGCTGCAGGTAGTATTGCCATCCCTAACCGCTGCCAGCAAAGTCACCTTCGGCTGCCAACGCTCCAAATCATCCTTCGCCAGCTTGAGATCCTCAACAGAAGCATGGACATCGTTGATCCGACGATTCCCTTCCGAGGTCTCCTTGGATTGCTCATCCAGCTTGGCGAGGATGAGAGCGAATTGCTCCTCAACCTTCATGGTGACTTGGAGGCTGCGCCAGGATCTAGGCTAACCGATACCAATATTACAATACTGGATCTAGGACTGTATTTAGAACGGGAATATCTGAGTAGTGTTTACAGCAACGATGGTAATGGTCGCCGCCGGCCAACTCGAGCCGCAGCCCGCCGCCAACTACCGGCATCCGGCAACAACCAAGACAAGTCTGAGTTTGTTCGTCTCCCTCTCTATATAGCAATTACAGCTGTTGCGTACAGCAGTCTGATGACGCAGGTGGGCTCTAACTACTTACTCCATTCTGGGCCGGTGACTCGAGTATTGGGCTTCTTCAGTCTCTTGCTTCCAAGTCTCCGGCAAGATGCTGGGCGTGATTCCACGTCCATTACAATGACCTTTGACCTGCATGTATCCTATATATTCGTTTATTTCTGTACCCGATAGCTGCAGCAATTTGTGCTCATGGTCATGGCCCAGGGAAGCGATACTTCTGAGATACGTTGCTGGTCCGTTGTATAAAAGGAGTTCATGCCGTCAGCCCGTAAAAGGCATACTGACCTCAACTACAACACGATTACCTGCGACTGGCTCTGGAAAACCTCGACCTCTAGCCTTATGGATGCCCAGACTTGGTTGCATCGCCTGAGCTTCTCATTCATGCGAGCTATAAACGATTTGGCCCATACTTCTTCATCACGCTTCGTGCTCGAGCCACAAGGAACTGAAAAACTGGCAACCATACTACAGCTAGTTATAAGATCCCAAATAAAATTCCACTCCTAAAGAGAGAGAAAAAAAAAGGAAAAGAGAGGACCTGCCGAGTGCGGCTGCTTATGATGCACTTTACCTCATCAGTTCCCCTTCTGATTGTTTGCCAACTGACCGATAACTTCTGCACACATATACTCGGTAGATATGCAGAGAGTGCCTTGAGATATTCTGTATGCCCGCCTCAAAACTTGCATTGCGGAACAAATATGTTACTGGATAACCTAAAAGCCACCTGCAGATATTGAAACATTAACATGTCATTCAGAGAGCAAATCAAATGTCAAAACTTAACCAAGGTAGCATCCATAACAGTGGCAATATGCACCACACTTCGGTCACATGTTACTAGTACTATCATAACGAATAAATTTGCCATTTTTTATACAGATGCCGCGCAAATGTTTTTTCTTCCAAGTGTTCAAACAATGGTTTCATTGGACCAAGAATCCCATGGTTACAGTTTTGATGACACACAGAACCTGAAATTACCCATTCAGAGAAGGCAAGGCAATTTGCGTGTTCTCAAGGAAGGTACTCAGATCAACAACCAATAAGGTCCTGTCCTCAACGTGATTGTCGGTGCACTCTGCATCAACAGTACTCTGTGGAATTCCTGACATTTGCTTTGTTATTCCAGGTCCAACAACAGACAGATCTACAGGAAATTTGGCTGCGAATTGATCTTGTATAGATACAAGGTCCAGCACAGTGTCATTGTCTTCTATGGTTGTAAGCAGCTGCATACAAACAACTTTTCAGTAATAACAAACACGACATATTCACTTTACTGTAGACAAAAATACAAAAGTATGGTCTTGGAGGGTAAATACACTGCAACATCTTTTCTCTAGGTCCACGAAAGCTAGCCATTGCTGCGACCTTGCGTTTGGTGATGCATGTTCAGCAAGTCCTTTAATATGGATTAAGTAAAGCATATCTCCAATAATCATCACCCGGAGTGGATTCAATATGCTTGTTTCCTGCAAGTCAAGCTGATGGATATATAGATGACATCCAAATAACCTCTAGTAAAGGTAAAGATAGTAGATTGGTCATGAAAACAGTTGGAAACTGAATGGATCACAGGTCTGTTTAAGCACAACATAATAAAAACGAAGTTAAATACGAGGACTGTTTAAGCAAAAGAAATAAAATGGCATTATTATTCAAGACATCTGTTGTAAATGTAACTGTTGGATGGCAGAGCAATATACAAATTACAACCTTCTAGTCACTATCAAGATCCAAAAAACTTATGTCTTTTGCCACAACCAATGTTTTCTGATCGTCCGATTAATCGCGATCGCGATTAATCGTCCTTATCGGTACTTAGCACTTGATTAGGCCCTCCGATTCGATCAGAGCGATCAGAAACCTGATTGTCCGATTAATCGTCGATTACTCGCGATTAATCGTCCGATTAGGTCTCTTTGCCGATCAACACTAAATAGGCAGATGGACTACTTCAGTTTACTAGGCTATATTTATTTGGGCCAGGCCCATTAGGGTTTCTCTTATATACCTCACCCCCACTCTTTCTCTCCTCAGTCCTCAGTACTCCTCACTCCCGCTGTGTGTGCAGCTGAGCTCCATCTCATAGGTAAGTAACCAACTAACTAGAAATATGCTCGATGTCTACTATATAAATATATAGTATATGGTATATTATATATATACCATACATATATGATATATACTTATATAGTCCTGCTATATGCTGAACGATTATATGGACGATTAGACTGATCAGAGGTCGATTAATCGTCCTGATCGTCGATTAATCGTCCTGATCGTCCTAATCAGTACCAGACCGATTAGGAACGATAAGCCGATCAGAAAACATTGGCCACAACCGCACAAGGATCCTTCCATAGGGCAGGGGTTTGCCGGGTGAGTCAAGGGGAAAGGCGCATACAGTGCTCATGTGCGTGAAATTTCAACAGTGACTGGAACCGCCCCATTGTGATGCGCTTGCAAGGAAGTAACAGTACAGATAGCAGTATTATTTCCAGCGACAGTTTTTCGTCAGTCAGATAACAATTAGCAGTGGAGAAAAATGATTCATATGCAATCCGTGATTCTGAGTTGAACTAGTACAGAGAATTCAAATACTTAATAATACATCAAAGTCGTGAAATTACCTGCTGGGCATGATGCAGCAGGCTACAGAGATTTTCTTGTAGCTGAGGCATTGTGCCACCATAATCAACCAGAACCACAGGCCGCAACCCGGTGCAGAGAAACAGGATATCTGGCAACAACCGGGTTTGTTCATCAATTTACTTGTAATGTAATTCGGCATGACACCATTCACTTTCCTCAAATCATACCCTTTAGCTTTACAGCCACTAAATTTTCATTAAACCCTAGTTGCAACTACTGACCAAGTGACTTATAACTACGGTGGTACAAACTTATGAATTTAGTGGATAAATTGCCTTCTGCAATTGGGTTTGGCTAACAATTCATTCAACAACCACCAAAAAATAAGTGTTTTAGCAGCAGACCAGAAAGACAGCATGGCGGTAGATTAAGCAAGAAAAGGACTATTGTCAACAGCAAATCCTAAATACAGATGAGGAGATAATAACAGCTACAACTACTAAGAGCAAGCGAGTGGCCGCTTACCGTTGAGGAGGCGGCGCTTGGAAGCTGGGCGGAGGCGCCACCGGATCCGGGCCGCGCACGCCTCCACCACTTGCAGCATCTCCTCGTACGGCCCCGGCCCCGCCCCCGCCGCCGCCGCCGCCGCCATCTCCGCAGCGAAAGAACTGAAGCCGCTCACGGAGCCATTTCCCGTCCTATATGGAAACCAACGGCTAGGATGGATCAAGGTGCGAAACAACCTCAAGTTAACCGTCCGATCCCTTCAGAGCTGGGAGTGGGGACCGGGGGAGCTGGGAGTTGCGGTTTCAGCTGCTGCTGCTAGCCTGCGACCTCCGAGGAGGCGGAGCAATGGAGTTATCCACTCCTGTCCCCGTCGGGAGCTCCCTTGCTAGAACTGCGGTCATGGCCCTCGTCAGCCCCAACCTCAAGGTAAGCGATTCCCGCAGTCGGATGCTTCTCTGCGTGGTTGCAAGGATAATCTCGGTTGCAGTTACACTTTCTGGGCAGTTATTATGCTAGAATGGTTCAGATTAGGCTAAGATATTTTTGGGCATATCTTGGTCTGCTCCGCAGCTAAGTTCTAGTTTTGGGCTGGGCACTTTGTTGCCTGTTTCTTCTCGGACTTGGGAAGAAAATTAGGGTTCAGTCTTCATTCTTCAGTGATTATTTTGCTCGTGGGATCGTGTGTACAGTAACTCAAGGAGGACTATAACTGAGTTCTGACTTTCAGAAAATTTGGTATTCAGCTCTAGTGAAAGGCTTATACAAGTCTAAAACATGTTCCGACATCAGACTGGGAAATGTTGTTGCAAACTAATTGTGTATGGCAATTTTTTTTTTGAGAAGATTACTAAATGATGAAGGGATAATTTAGCATTGCGTCATCTCACTTTTCATCTCTTAGTATTACTTTTCCTAATTTAGTTCTTCTCTTGAGAATTACAGTTTGAATATGCAGGTTGGTCTGCAGATAACCAATCAAATGTGTGTGAGGGGGATGCGACTTCAATGCCAATTTTCTCATAGACGACCATCTGTAGCTTGTTCAATGTTGTTAAACACACAACCTTCACAACGGTAGGTTGTTTTTGGTGCCTTCTACTTTTCCTTTTGGCATATACAGTTTTTTTTAATCTTAAAACTGTAGTTAGGGATGATTTGCAATGACCAAATCAGTGATTGTTACCCAATCTATTTCTCTAATGCTGCAATGTATCATGGGGGTGATATCCAGTGCATAATGGTAATGAGTTGATCCTTTGGAATTGCTTATATAATTTCTCTTGCAGAACCAACCATAAAGATTGTGGTTTGCTTCAGGTGCAATGTACGGCTCCCTTATCAATTCCTTGAAACTGTGTATGTTCTGAAAATCCTTGTGTATTGACCTTGGTCAATAATTTGAATTATCAGGTACAGGAAACCTGATGCAGTCGTCAGTATCTTTCAGTGACTTCTCTGTTTCAGCGTGTACTGAAGAGGATGGTCTGATAAAGGTTAGCTAGAATTTTATTGTCATCTCTGTGTGGAAAGTGTGAATGAATCCTTAACAGTTTTGACCAATGTCTTCTTGATTTTATCTTTCATTGCCTTTCTTACAAAATGCAGCTACAGGTAAATGTATCTGGCACAATGACAGATTCTATCTTCGAGAAAGTTTTCACAAAGAATGTTGCCGCCGCACAACCCCTTCCTGGCTTTCGACGAATGAAAGGCGGTATAGTTCTAAAACTTTTACAACCCCAGATTTCTGTCCATCATTTGGCAATTTCAAATTGCCTACAACTGTGCTCATGTGATTCGTACTCTCATCCTGCAAATTCTGAATTCACCTCAGATGTTAAAGGATACGAGTTCAATATGTCATATCAGTTAAGCTGTATAGAAGATGTTAATGTTTGGTTGCTTGTATATCATACTATACGTTGTTTAAATTTGTCATATGAAAACTAACACTGCTTACGTTTGTTGACATTGTCTTCCACATGGTGCTATCTTAATCATTCAGGGAAAACTCCAGACGTAAGTTCCCATTCAAAAGTAACGCTTTCAGTTTATATCAGTTTGAACTCATTTGCATATAGGTAGAAGCTGTTTTAACTTCTAGCTTACTAATTAGTAAATTACTCTTTTGTGACGCTGAAGATACCGAAAGAAGTCGCTCTACACTTAATTGGACCATCAAAAGTGAAGAAAGAAACCATCAAGAAAATTATAAATAGCACAGTTGCTGAGTATGTTCAAAAGGTATCTGTTATTCTGTAACTCTCTGAATCTAAATGTAAAATTGTTGGTTATGCTTCCTAGAGGCTATTTTATATGGGGTTCAGTATTATGTGGTGTTATGCAAAGGCAGTTTCTGTTGCCAACTTTTTGGGCAATAAAAAGAAACTCAATTAGCATCTTATTATTGTTGTAGCCATTTCTGATCATGAACCATTCTTTAGTACTGATTTATTGTCTTTCCAATGACAACAATTTTTGTAACGACATGTTAGAGGAAGCTATCTTACATTTGGAAGCACCAAGCTGCAGTGATTAGGCATGTATTCACACATGTTTACCTGTTTCTCATATATTACAGGAGGGCCTGACTGCATCGAAGAATCTGAAAGTTCAGCAGAGCTATGAAGAACTTGAAGCAGCATTTGAACCAGGGAAAGAATTTTGCTTTGACGCAACAGTTCATTTACAATAAGCTGATGATGCATCACTAGGATTGATAACCAGCCTTCTCCACCATTATGACCTCATTAGTAGTTGTTAAGAAATGTTTTCAGGTGAAACAGAATTAGGCAAAATATCATGGTAGTCTTGGGTAGAGGCACGAGCGTAATGTATTTTTTATGGCAGTAATTCATAAACAAGGTGATGCTCTCATTGATACAATGGATCAATATAAGTGAACAAAGTAAACAAAAATCTTTCACACTTATAATTTGGAATCGAGGGAGTTCGTAATAGTATCCAAATGCTCGATCAATCATGGAGAAATCTTTTATGGGACGTTTGGTTTGAGGAATGACTCTATTCTAGATGAGGTAGTGCACCGTGAGTCTATTTCTCAAATTTGGTTGAATGATTCTATTCCTCGTACTAATATTAATTCTTAGCTTATGAAGAATGAGGCGACGATGAATTAGCCCATTCCATTCTGCTGAAAAGACGATGGATTAACTTGTTCCTTAAACCAAACACTCTATTAGTGGTCTCCATGGGAGCTAGGCTGCAGCCTGCAGAACCAAAAATTTTTGAAGCCAAGGTTCATGCATATACGAGGCAGCAAATTAAAGCATCAAGAAGAGCAACAAACCATAATGTAAGTAGTGGCATCTTTATTTGCATCTACTTTTCGTTGGACTTGCACGTAATTCGCTTGTCTCTTTGTTGTGATAAGTTTCACCGACTACAACTTAACTCCTTGCATTACCAAGTGCCAAACTATATGCATTCGTACTGCATACACTTGCATATATATACAAGCGCAGGGGCAGCAGCAATGTCGGAGGAAAACGCTAGTGTGCGCCATCGTCGCCATCGGAATGGAAGGCTCTGGGAGGACTCATCTCAGACGTGCATTGCACTCACAGAGTCACAGAGGTTTTTTTTAGGTCCTACTCCTGCTAGTATAATGTTTGTGCTAACGCAATAGCTTTATCTTGGGGATGCACATAAAACAACCAAACAATGAACTTTTTCTATAGTTCAACTTTTCCACAATAGTATATTACCCGTGCTAACGCTATAGTGGTGTCTAAAAAAATAAATCATAAAACTAAAATAAATCATAAAACAAAAAATAAATCAACTAATGAAAGAAACACGAATTCAGTCTCGCAGAGATTAGTCATTTCACACAGGAAAAATAGACAAGCCCACACAACATGACTAAGACGAGTCTTAAAGTTCATAAACCATCAGTCTATATATGATTCTATAAACAATGGTTTATGGCCGGGACAGGGCTTTCTCCGCGGCGTGCTACCACTCCACTCTGCCAGACGTCCTTCAAATAGAAACCCCTACCACCAGACATATTGACCTCTGCAAAAATGTAAATAGGTAAAAGGTTGTGAGAGACAAACTTGACAACCTGTTCCACAAATGTTCTTATTCACAGCAAGAACGCAAACGGAGAACACAAGCACATCAAAATTAGTTGAAGCAGGGTGAGTGTTAGAAGCATGTTGAATATATAAAATGTATCTCTACTATAATGGAACTACACATTCTCTATGAAAATGGTTGCTAAGTTAACGGAGGCCACACACAATCACGTGCAGCCATACTAGAATGCCAACAAGGAACAAAATTATCAAGTTACTCCGTAAATCTAGTTTATACTGTTTTATGATTATGCAAGCAACAGTTACATATCTAACCGAGATTACCCAACAAAGCTTAAGCTCAGTAGGAACATTGGTAATTTGCGATGCCTAAATTCTACATTACTACTTTCCATATATCCCATAAAAAGAAATCAGGTTTCATTTTCTTAAAGCTGACATTAAGATGCATGCAATGTTGTCTAGACTAAAAAAATTGTCATTGTGGCTTGTACGCATTTTTAAGCATTCTAATCATTCTGGGAAACAAAATCGGAGGATGATGATCTTGCTGCACATCAATTTAAAGCCTTTCGGTACGAATAAGCAAAAATATACCAAATTGAATTGTTACCCTAAAAGTATTCATAGCCACCGGCTAACAATTTTTTCAAAATCATTGAAAAGAACATTGTAGTAGCTAAGAGGAAATTACAATGGATCAAAATAAACCTATTACCAAATAAATGTCTACCATTTTTAGGAAAAAAACCAACTGTGTCATTGCTTTTCTAGACCAACTGCAAAAAACACAAACACACATCAGCTCATATGACTGGTATACTTCTTGAACGGACCACTGCAAATACAGTTTCAAGAAGAATAGTTTTGATCGGTTTCTATGTGCATGTCCACGATAAAATAAAACTTACAGTGCCTACACTTCTACTAATTTACATAGGTCACACTGGCAATTTAATTGTAGCAGAATCTAATTCTAGTTTCAGAAAAAAAATCATAAACATTATCTTTTTTTATTGGCAAAAGTTGCCTTCTTCGTGCAGCTCATAATAAGAGAAAAATGTCAGCGATCAAGAGTGAAACAGGAGTCATAACTTTGGTCAGACATAGTCACCTAGCAGCTAATCATAAATTACACATTACACATTTCTTTGAACCTACTACATGATAATCATCATAAACCTGAATTGAGCATCTACAACCTATCGGACAACAATCAGTAACAGTATAGAGATTGTTTGATTCAATTTTTGGCACTGCTTGCCTCCAGTAAGGACTAAACTCAAATACAATTTTACACAGCTAGTAACAAACACATGAGAACATTGATCAGTACCTCACTCTGAAGCTCCTCATCGACTCTGTGGCCATTAGCCACCTGCACATCCAACTTTACAGTCGCTTCCTAACAGGCCTCAAAACTAATTGGAACACCAAAATTTGGCATGACGAAATATCAAACGTATTTTTCTCGTCTCTCAAGAAGGCGTCCCTGAGGCGGCTCTCCCGCACGAGCGGGTCTTGAAAAGACATCAAGCAAAAGCATCAAATAGTTGGGATCACAATGTACCATGTCATTCATCTCTACAATTGATTGAAACGCATGTATTACGTACTAAAATTGATTAGAACAGACACAAACCAATTTATGATCAGCAGATCAATTCGGCAAAAACCTTGGGCATCAAACACAGGCTCGATCTGGATCTAGACAACAAACCCCAGCATAAATCTGTCGTACTGAAATTGATTAGAACAAACACAGATCAATCTCTGATGAGCAAAATTAATGCGGCGAAAACCTTGGGCATCAAACACAGGCTCGATCTGGACCTAGACAGCAAACCCCAGCATAGATTTTAATGTAGACGGATTTTTATGTGTATTTTTCTGGGTGCACAATAATTAAAAGCTTTCAGCGGGAAATGTTTTTTCTAAGGGACCTAGTATAATTTTGATTGGTCCATTAGAGTTGAGATGTCCATACTATCCGGGCATCTAGAGCGAAGGGACGTTTCTCACAAATTCTTTTATCCGACTGTCTGCAAAGTTGTCAGCTTAGGCATCGTGACTTACAACGCTGATCTCCTTAGTTAGAGGTGGTTTCTTATGTGAATCGTCTCTGTAAGAAATCGAAACTGTTTATAAGAAAGATTTGTGCGCCACAACCTAATTCGCACCCAGCAAAAATCCCTGGCGTAGTGCGAATGTGCAAAGCGCTAGCATCTAGCACACGAGGGAGCAACCAGCTAGCTCCATCCTCCAATGAATGAACCAGAGAGTACGTGGTCACTTAAGAGTTAAGATTGCACCAGTAGACCTGATCTGAGTTCGTAACATCTCTTTTTTGTGATAAAGTTTCACCCACCATAACTTCATTAATTACTCCTTTGCATTGTCAAGTGCACAACTGTATATATATATGTACACTATTCGCAAAAAAAATTGTATACATATGTACACATACTGTATATTACATGTTTCCTACACTACGCCAGATTTGCACATCACTGCCGGATTTGCGAGAACCGACAGTGATGTACCTTCACTGCTGGTTATGAGCTTGAAAATAAAAAAATGATTGGGGCTGGGCTAAAACCGGCAGTGATGTTCACTGCCGGTTTGTGGCTTGAACCAGCAGTGTTTTGGCGGACACTCAGCACTGCCGGTTTAAGCCAAGAGCCGACAATGATTGTGCTCTATCACTGTTGGTTCTAGCCAAGAACCGACGGTGATAAGCCTACAACACAAAAAGGTTATAGCCGTCCTCTCCTTCCCCCTTTCTTCCATCCCGAGAACAGAGACACGCGTTTGGACCCTTTCCTTTATTGTTGCGGCTGCTCTTCACCATGAAGCTAGTGCTTGGATTTTGAAGAATGACTTCATCTTTTTGCTTTAAGGTTAGTAACAAACATCCACTTCTTTGATTTTGTTGCTTAATTAGCTTCGTTTTGATGGCTACATTGCTTGATTCTCATTCTAGTTCTTTCTCCATTTTAGAGAGCACTTTTTCAATTGGACATTTGTACAAGGCTTAAATTGTAGTGAATCCATCTTCCAAAAGGTTCGTGTCTATGAACACATTTAAATTCCTAGCTAATTATTCAATGGTGGTCAAGATCATCATTGTTAGTATGTGATGCTATAATTAGTTTTAGAAGTAGAGTAGAATAGTTGTTCTTTAATATTGTGCAATAATTATTTTTTACTACGATTTTCAATTTACAGGGCCGGGGCTACCAATTTCAATTTTTCAATAATTAGTGTACAATAATGTTTTCCAAAAATGGTACTTTCGAGCTACAATTGTTGTTCATGAAGCTCGATTTCTTATTAATTCTTTGTAATTACTGTCTCAGTATTTTTTTGTGCAGAGATGGATCGAGAGTGGATGCATCTTCCTGAACGGACAAGCGGTACATGCATGGCGTCAGTTTATCACCGATGCCAAAGCCCATGCTGGGAATGGAAACCCTGTCTTCTGCCCATGCAAAGATTGCAAGAATCATAGGAACTTTCGTCAAATTAAGTCTATACGATCGCACTTGATTACCAGGGGGTTCATACCAAACTATACGATATGAACTATGCATAGCGAGGTTGGTGTGAATGTTCTGCGGGAAAACGATGA